CTTCTTGGTGTTACCTGTGTTCCATTACATCTTGCTCCCCCAGCAGCGTTCAGTGTCTCCTCTGACTCTGCCTTCTTCTCTTCTCTTCTCTCTGCTTGGATTCCCCACCTGCCTCTATTCTGTCTTGCCATAGGCCATAGCAGCTTCTTTATTAACCAATGGTAGCAACACATATTCACAGCATAAAAAAAGACCATCCCACAGCACTTCCTGTTGTCTGTGAGTGTTGGTATCTTTGGGCAAACCTTAAGAAAACTGGGTAATGATTAAATCTTGGCCTTGAAGCTGTTCTGGATGCTGGATCACCTGGGCCATTAGTTTTTATTGGTGTCTGGTCCCCTTGCTCTGATAATACATTAACTTTTAAAGGCAACATACATATCTGCATTAATACAAGTACAGACTCTCCATTGTACACAAGTCAGTCAAAGATAATTTTTTTGTTTTATGTTTGAGCAGGTAAAATACATGCCACATGTCTGGTAGTTCTTCTAGGTTTATTTCTTTAAGTTTGTAGCCAGGGTTTTCAGGGAGGTCTTCTCTGATCAAACCTGATCCATATCAGCCTGGAATGAATCCACAGCCTCTCATTTCCTGTGGAAATAAAAGCATAACCTCTTCCCCAAAGTAACATCTTTTGACTTCCATTTTGAAGTCAAGACATTTTTAAAATATATAGGTTGTTTAATCCAGCAGTTTTCATAATCGAATGTCTTAGCAGCTGTCATTCCTTCATCGGCAATCAGAAAATCTAAAGACAACATAATAATGTATAGAATCCAGACTCCTCATGTATTTCCCATCTTTGTGTGATTTTTCCTTTATATTACTTTATTCTTTCTTTAAAGACTTTATTATTTTTAAACTTATTTTTTTCTTTGACTGTTTATACCATTTTTTTTTCTCCCAAGTCTATGTACATTTTTAAACCACTGTAATCCATTTAGAGGTTTTGGGTTTTTTTTTTCTATCTGGATCTATCTTTACTGCACATCTGCAATCTTTCTTGTCTGCATGAGTAAAACTTGAACCCACCATGCAGTTTAGTTTATGGTGTGCTGGGAGGATTCACTCTGACAGTGCTCATGCTGGTGGCTCAAGCCCACAGGCAGTGGCTAGGAAACACAGGTCTGTCTCATGAGAGACATGAAGCTAGAAAGCCTTGGCTCCATTTTTGTGTGTTTAGAAACGTTTTTAAGTTTTTCAGATCTTATGTGGATATAAGTGCTGGACATTTGGGTGCCATTTGTAGGCAGAGTTTCTCTATGTCTCAGCAGCCACTCCAAATAACCATTCAGAGACTTATTATTAATTTCAGAAACTTAATTATTAAATTAATTATTAAATAAATGTTCAGCTGATAGCACCGCAAGCTTGTTTTTAGTTAGCTCTTATAACTTAACCCATTTCCATTCATCTATGTGATGCCCTGAGGCTCGTTTACCTCATGTACATACTTCCCATTCTGCTCACTCTGTGTCTCATGGCATTTCCTCCAACTCTGCCCTTCTTCTCCTGAGCATTCTCTCTGTCCTGAAAATCCTGCCTAGCTATTGGCCAATCAGCATTTTATTAAACCAATCTGAGTTGCAAATCTTCACAGTATACAAAAGGATTATTCCACAGCAGCTATTTTTTTTTTTGCTGGAGTCCTGTCTTATTATTATTAATTTAAAAACATTCTTATGCATTTAAAACATTAATCTCTTGCCTGTTTCGGGCATTACAAATATTTCCAGTGTAACATCTTTTGGTTAACTTTGCCATGCTATCCTCAGTCAGACAGATGAATTTAACTACATACAAATATCTCACACACAAAGATCTATATATCTGTCATCCACATACTGCTTTATTTCTCACTTTCAAGATTTTGCTTAAGCTCTGAAGCAAGACTGAGAAAATGAGTACATGGGTTTCAATAGTTCTTTAAATATGTGCTGCACACCTCCACCACTCTGGGTCCTCAGTAGGTATTATGGGTGATCATATCAGTAATGACCATTTTAACTTTTAACATTTTGTTGCATTGGCTCCCCTAAAGAATATATTTTAGTATCATACCACATTCTAGACCATTTTCACATTCATACTTTTACTTTTATAGTAAAACCAAACTATCAAAATGAGATGGAGTTTTACATTATATTCACTATATGTAGATTTGCAAAAACAATGATTATATTTGAGGATCAAATGCAGAATTTTTGAAAGGCTTTCATGTAATTCAGGCTCCCGTGAATTTGTTGTGGACAACAGAATTGTGTTGAACTCTTGATCCTCGTGCCTCTCCCTCTTAAGTGTTAGGAATTTAGATGTGTACTGCTATACAAACTTAGAGAGCCCCAAGTGATGAAATAACCACAAGACAAAGGGCAGTTTTTATATGAATCACAATCATTTGCATGTTGCTTCAGGGAGTAAAGTATTGAGAGTGGATATGGAGGGAGGTTTAAGAGGCCAGCATTGTAGTAATAATACTTAACACTTAGTTGGTGTTTTATGCTTTATTTTTCCTTAATCCATACAGTCTGTAGATATTAAGTGGAGCTACAATTTGGGCTAATCAGGAAAAATTAAGCCAAACCTTAACATAAGGGAGATGTAAGGAATTATTTCCTAATTATAGAGATTGTTGTATACTGGAAATTCTACTTGAGGATGTCACTGATTCTCTGGGAGTTTTAATAACTGCATGAACAGTTGAATCAAGATTGATCATATTGTCAGCCTCATTTCCAAATGAGAAATATCATAATGTATAAGTAAGTATGTAAAGGCCTTTCTCTTCCATGGGCATAGTAGAAAAAAAACCCACAGATAATTAGACTCAAGCAGCTAGTTGTGTATTATAAGCAATCCACTTGCCATTTCTGATTTTCTTTAACACTATATTAATATATATGATGTTATTTTTAATATATTAAATAGTGATATCACTAATTAATTGTATATATTACTAATTAACCTATTTATGGAGTTTGAACCCCCCTTATTAAACCACTTCTCAGTGATGACAAAGTGCTGAGGACAAAGTACTCAAGATATGATAAAACCAGCTCATTCCCTAATTCTTCTCCCCGCCCCCTCAAACTCCCAAGAACTCTACCTCTATCCCTTCCTGGTATTCAAAGCTGTAAGTTCTGAGGGTGAGAATATATGGAGCCAAGGATGATAGGAGGTCAACATGGAGACTCACTTTTCCATAAGGTTTTAGGTGAGTGTGAAATGTTGACCATGTCTGAGTCTTGTAAAACTAGTTTAATTGGTCAACATCATTGATCCTTTTTTTTTTTTTATATCAGATCAGATGAGACCAAGAGAAATGTCAGTTAAGCTCTGATTTATAGATAGACTTAGACTTACATATCCACCATTTAATCATGTTGATTTTTATTCATATTGGCATTTATACTCATTGCACATAGTAATAGGCTTCATGAAGACATTTCATCAAGCGTATCATGTACTCTAGGCATAGTCATCTTTCATACCTCTTCTTCCTCTACCCTCACCCTCCCACCGATACAGTTTCTTTCCATAGAAGTCTCATTTCTGCTTTAATATCATTTACAAATAATAACATTAAAAATGATTTGGTGCATCTCTATGCAATCTGGGATCCACACATGAGAGAAAACATGATTTTTATTTTTCTAAATCTGGCTTACTTCATTTGATGTGATGATTTCTATTTGCTCCCATTGCCTGGAAACATCATAACTTTACTCTTTTCAAGGTTAAATAATACTTAAATATATATTATGGATATATACCTCATTATCTTCATGTATCCTTCTGTTTATGGTCACTGATTCCATGTATTGGCTACTGTGAATATAACCACGGATGAGCAAGTGTCTCTGTGGTGTGTTTAGTCTTTTGACTGTGTACTCAGGAATCAAGTAGCTGGGTACTTGGTAGTTCTGTTTTTAGGATCTTGTTTATTGATTATTACTCATACTGAGCTTAGGGTTAAAACAAGCTCACTGAGTTCTATAGTAAGGGCTATATCCCCACCCTCTATTATTTATTTATTTATTGTTTGTTTGTTTTTGTGGAACTTCCATACTCAGGAAATAAACCAAGAGTTGACAACTGTGACTGCATGATGTTAAAATGTTCACATCGAAAGAACAATTAAGTGAACAAAGAGATGGCCTACAGAATGAGAGGAAAACTCTTTGCTAGCTCAATATCTAATGGGATTTTTGTCCAAAATATATATAAAGAACTCAAAAACCAAATACTGCAAACAAACAAACAAAAACCAAAACAACTAGTAAGGTGGGTTAATGAAATGGATGGAAAATTCTCAACAGTTCAACTGCAACTGGCCAGTAAACATGATAAAGTAGATGATGAAAGTGTTCAGCATTCTTAGCCATTGCAATTGGGGAAATGGAAATTAAAAACTACAGTGAGATCACCTGTCTTTCTGCAGCTGGAATGGCTATCATTAAGAAAACAAATAGCGGGGCTAGAGAGATGGCTCAGAGGTTAAGAGCCCTGGCTGTTCTTCCAGAGGTCCTGAGTTCAATTCCCAGCAACCACATGGTGACTCATAACCATCTGTAATGAGATCTGGTGCCCTCTTCTGGCTTGCAGGCATACATGCAAGCAGAATACTATATAATAAATAAATAAATAAATAAATAAATAAATAAAAATTAAAGAAAACAAATAGCAACACATGCTGGAGAAGATGCAGGGGAAGGAGAGCCCTCAAACACTGCTGATAGAATGTAAGTTGGTTCCACCACTATGAAAGCAATTGTGCTTCTGAAAAGCCAGGATGTATTTACAGGATTATGCTCAGAAGGAAAAGTATTAACAACAATAATGATGGTTTGATCTTACTTCAATCCTTAGTGAAGAAAACCTTCTTTTCCTGCGTGATAGGTCTCAATTAACTTTTCCCCTTTCATTCTGATGTTCCAGTGAGTCTCACTTCAATAGAAAGGCATGGCTAATGTGGATCATGTGTATCTCTTCAACAGGGACAAGTGATCCATATGTGAAGTTTAAAATCGGAAGAAAAGAAGTTTTCAGAAGTAAAATTATACACAAGAACCTGAATCCTGTGTGGGAGGAAAAGGCTTGCATCCTTGTCGACCATCTTAGAGAGCCCCTGTATATCAAGGTGAGCTGTTTCTTTGCTTTTCCGTTACAGAACCCGACTCAGAAATCTTTGTTTAATGGTTGTTTCTTGCGCCTTCAAAGGGGCTTCACCAAAGACCACTGTTGACAGCTTTAACCCAAGATAACAGGACACAAATGAGCTGGGACGACAAACTGCTGGAGGCCCTTCCGTGTGGACCCGTTCTGTTGGTGGACGCACAGAAGTGCGATGAGAACCACCTCTGCTTTGTGCTGTCAACAGACGCACTGCAGTTTGGGAGCACATGACAATAAGTCTCCAAAGAACCCAGCATGAAGGAAAGCTTCCACAGAAACCAGCATTTCTGCTTTGTTTTTGATCATGCCACTTAAGCTTTTCTTGTGGGAGATACAGGCTGAGGGGACTGTAGCTTCCTCTTTTTCCTGCCATGGGATAGATTCATACATTAGTATAAATTTTTTCCAAACTAGGGAAGTCATCTCACAAAAATGTCATTGTCCCTGCCATGTTCAAGGTTCCTGTCTAACCAGATATTATGAATGTATGCATATCAGTTTGCACAAAACAATAGACAGCATTGTGCTGATGTTCAATTAGCAGATAGATCCTCAGACTAGTGTGTAATCTTAGTCTCCTCACAGAGCTATGGTTCAAGGTAGCAGGACTCACTGCTCTGGCAGTTACTTCTGGAAATGTATATAGAAGATGCCACAGGTTTGCACTGACCAAAATCTAATGCTTCAGGCACCTGTTAGCCCAAATGGTACACCATCTTCTCTGCCTGCCAGCTCTGGCCTCACTGGCTGTGGTTGTATCTAAAGTCCTTGTTCTGAGAATCAGCAAGTTCCCGAGGCTCCTTTGATGGTAGATCATAAAGATAAAGGTGTAAGAAAAAAGGAGGCTACTTTGCTTCCTAAGAAATATAGGGCTTTGGGGCTGAAGAGATGGCTGAGTGATTCAAGCACTTGCTGTCCAAGCAAGACAACTTTAACTGGGTTCCCAGGCACCCACATAAAAAGCCGAAAGTGGCTGTGTACGTCTATAACCCCAGTGCATGGGATGGAGACAGACAGACCTCCAGAGCTCAATAGGCAGCCAGTCTAGACAAAGCATCAAGCTTTGGGTGCAACAAAAGAACATGTCTCAAATACACACATAGATATATACTCATATACGTAGGGATGTACAGATATATACATATAATGCATGTATGAATACTTACATACATACAGTAGAGAGCAATTAGTAAGATACACCCTGATGCCAACCTTAGACATGTGCACTCCATACACATACACACACGTGAGCAGGTACACATCCAATAGGATACCAAAAATTAGATAAATAAACAAGTCAAAAGGGAAGAAACTTAAGGTCTGTCATAGTATCAAAAAGGCACATGCCTTCCAATGAATGAGATCTGGCAGGGACAGAATGAAGAATCTTTCTCCTCTCCAGCTCAGGGGACCATGTATGACCTATAATGAAGGCAATGGAATTATTAGGCCTTAGAAACATTCCTGGAATTTCTCTGCTTCATGTAAACAAACGATTTGAACTTGCTCCTAGTGGGTATGGGAGACAGCTATGCATTGGGACTGAAAGTACATGCCATGAGTTAAGTGAATTGTGTAACAGTTGGTGCAGAACAGTTTCCTCAGCAGGGACTAAACCTTCCCATGCACACGATGTCCAATACAGATGTGAATCGAGTTTTCAAAGAGAACTCTGAATACTACACAAGAAGACTCATTGCTGAGTCCTGAAGATGAACCCACAGAAAAAGACCAAGAATCATATTTAAAGCAAACCCAAGTATAAAGACCATATTCCAGAGCATCATTCTTCACCAGACAAGTGAGCACCACAGTCCAAATGAGATGAAAAGGGCCCATAGCAAGACAGTGGGACAGGTAGGCATGGTGGCACTTGCGAGGCAGGAACAGGAGGATCACTACAAGTTTGAGGCCAGCCTAGTCTGCACAGTAAGCTTTGGGCCATCAAGGATGATTGCAAAGGCCTGTCTCTAAAGAACAAAACAAAAAGTCTTGGCATTGGGGGAGAGTACTGTTCATGTTGACTACAGGAAGAAGCTTTAGAGGGCAAAGGGGCTGTAGTTACCAAGATACTTGCAACTGTAGAGAAATCCACTGCAGAAAAAAGAAACGTAGTGTATAAACTCGGGTTGTTCATTCTATAAACATCGAATAATTTGGGAGAGCTTTTTTCTTTTCCTCTATTTAAAGTTAGTTGATTAATTTTTTTTAGGTCTGTATATGTATGAGTGCTTTACAGTCTTCAGAGCCCCACTCATATTTTTCTGTAAGTTATTTAGTCTGTAGACATATATTGAAGCTTCACTTTAGGCCAACCAGGAAGAGTGAAGCCAAATTTTATTATAAGGGAATTACGGGGTTCATATGGGTGCACATGTGTGGGTGCTGTGTCCATGAATGTGTGTCACTGACCAGGAGTCAGTGACCAGCATGTGGCTCCGCTGCCCTCTGCCTTACTTTTTGCAATGCGGTCTCTTGTGTGTTGCCTATTCTATGAAGCTGGCAGCCAATGAGCCCCAGGACCTTCTGTCTCTACCTCCCCGGGCACATGTAGCTGCACCAGCTTTTTTCACACAGGCTCTGAGGATCAGAACTCAGGTCCTCCTGCTTACATTGCAAGCATTTTACTGACAGAGCCCCAGCACAGCCTTTTAGATTTTTTTTTTTTTTTTGATTTTGCGAGACAGGGTTTCTCTGTGTAGCTTTGTGCCTTTCCTGGGACTCACTTGGTAGCCCAGGCTGGCCTCGAACTCACAGAGATCCGCCTGGCTCTGCCTCCCGAGTGCTGGGATTAAAGGCGTGCGCCACCACTGCCCGGCTTTAGCCTTTTAGATTTTAAAAGAATAAATATTTTACCTGGGGCACTGATCTGTCATGCTCCAGGATAGACTTTTAGATTTTAAAAAAATCAATATTTTACCTGGAACACTGAGAAAAAAAATTACGCCATTTTAAGATTTATCATTTCTGGTTCAAGGAAAGTGCTTTCTTCTACTAATGAAAAGGTCAAAGGTAATGGAGCTAAGAGATGACTTCATCACCTCTAGACATGATAAAAAGGGCTTTTCTCTCATCTGATTTATAGAAAGTCAAAAAATTTAAAGACATTCTTAAGGAGCTTAAAAAATCCCAACCTCGGTCCATGCCAAAGCCATGTTTCGTTATGTTTTCATACCTGGACTCCCTTCCATCTATGTCTTGAGGCACAATTTTTGGTGCACCTGTGTTCTGGATGTCTATTTGGTACCCAATCCTTTCTCTGCATTTACAATCACAGGACACCTTTTCCTCTACATTGTCATTCCTCCCAGGAGCCCCAAGTCTCACATGGTTGCTCTCTGAACACTCCTAGGGTACCCTTCTCCCTCCCTCCCAAGTCTTGCCAGTTGATTCCCTCTGTGTCTTGGTCAGTGTTTATTGCCAACTCCACTCCACCAGGAGCTACTTGCAAAGAAGGAACTAGAACTGGAATTTCCCCCATCAGATGCCTGTGAAGAACTGCCTTGATGGGCTATTGTTGTAAGAGGGCCCAGCCCACTCTGGGGAGCATCAAGCCCAGCAAGTTGCTTCTGCTCTAAGGGGACAGTGAGGGAGTGACAGTGGAAAGGAAAGCCTAGGCTGTGTGTTCTCATTGTCACTGCAAATAATAAGTGATAGGAAGGGAAATCATTTTTAATTACTTCTGCTGTAGACTTAGATTCTTTAATGGGATAGTGCTCCATAAAAATCATGTAGATTACCAGTTCATATAAGGACACAAATAGATTTATCAAAATTACATTAGACAGTGTGGGTTTTCTGTTCTTTGTGCTCAAGGAAGAGTAGTGTGTGTGTGTGTGTGTGTGTGTGTGTGTGTGTGTGTGTGTGTGTTTGTGTGTGTGTAATAAATTGTCAAAAGTCATATTTTGAAATAAATATGCTACTAGGCTCAAAACAAGAGAATAAAAAATCCATCTCAACTACACAGAAAAAATGGTATAAAATTGTTTTGTTTTGACATGATAAGAACATATACACAGGGCTAGAGACATGGCTGCTTTTCCAGAGGATCTAAGTTTGATTCCCACTATCCACAAGGTGCCTCACAACCATCTGTAACTCCAGTTCCAGGGCATCTAATGCCCTTACATGGTCTCTGCAGGCCCCAGACAAACAAGTGATAACAGACATACATGCAAGCAAAATACCCATTCATATAAAATAGAATAAAAATAAATGTTTTAAAAAGAATAACACGTGTATATGTGAGTATATATATTATAAATTCATAGACATATGTGTGCATATACACTGTAGCACTCACGGTTGGCTAACCCACCTGCTAAGGTCATACATTACATTACATACATCACAGACATAAAGAGGCCGAGAAGGAGAAACTGTGTCAGTTTGCTCTTCTCTCTTTCGCATTTCATCATACAGGACTGTCAGCCACAACTGCACTTGTACCACACGGAAGGAAATGCAGTCATTTGTAAAGCAATAATCATTTATTTTCATTTCTATTTTATAAAAGATGATTACTTTGACCTCTCAGATATAATATGAGAATAAAAGAAGACTTGACTTTATGCAATGTTTTATACTTTAAAAAATACACTTATATTTTAAGCTGATTTTTCATTCTCCATAGAGATTCTTTTGAAGAAAATCTCTAACCTTAAGCCTATTTTTACATGTTGTGTGTATGTGTTATCCTTTTATTTCCCTTGACCTTGGGTATTCAAAGACCCAAATAAAACAATTGGTGTGAATATCACTGAGTTACTATATGGCTTCAAGAACATTATAGCTTGGTGTTGTCTCTGCACAGCGCTGTGTGATTGCCTTACTGGGCTCTAAAATGACATTTATAGTCTCTGCAATAGATGATTAATCTTGCCTAAAATATTTCTCAGGAATGAAATGATTCTGCAGTAAATGGCACCGTGAAAACATTTGTGGGAGTATTTGGGTGGGAGCTCC